GGAGAAGCCTCCTTATCCAACTTAATTTTAAAGATTCTATAAATGACAATAAGTGTACCATCTTAAGACCTCCATCTCTATAATTTTTAACCACAACATCTCTCTTTATTTTATCAACCTTACCATTCCAAAGAAATTCATAAAGGATACAATTGAGTTTATGAAGAAATTTGTCACTGGGATTTGGTAAAGAAATAAACAAGTGATTAAATTGGGATACCATTAATGACTTTATGACATGTATTTTACCAATAGGTGTAATAGATCTTCTTTTCCATGAATTAATAATAGATTTAAGCTTAACAAGTTTTTTTATCAAAGTTTAGTTTTGGTATCCTATGTAGGTCTACATGAAATTCTACTCCAAGAAGCTTAAACTGTTCTGCACCCCACTGAAGATTTACTTCCGGTAATAAAATATCATTACTGTATCTCTTACTCCCTATCCATACTACTTGTGTTTTGTTCAGATTAATTTTTAGACCAGATATTCTAGCAAAAGTGTGCAATTCCGTTATAGATTCAGTCAGCGACTCCTCTGATCCATCTAGTATAAGTGAACTGTCATCTGCATATTGTGAAAATATAATTGGAAAATTGTTAATACTTATACCTTTGACTTTCCTGTTATTTCTCAACCGAATTGCTAGCATTTCAGCGCAAAGGATAAAAATATACGGTGCGATTGGATCACCTTGACGACAGCCTCTTTTGACATTGAAAAATTGAGAAAGATTACCTCCTTGGTTTATAGCAGAACTAATATTACAATGAAAAACTTTAATCCAATTTCTAATGCTATTTCCAAAATTAAAAAACTCTAACACTTCATCAATGAATTTCCATGCGACTGAGTCGAATGCTTTCTCAAAATCTATCATAAGTAACATCCCAGGTATATCTTTTTCTTCAGTATAATGCATTATGTCATAAATAAGCCTAGTATTTTCACCTATATATCTACCTGCCAAAAATCCAGTCTGATCTGTGTTGATAAGTTTTTGCAATACTGTTTTTACCCTACCTGCTATTGTTCCTGAAGCTATTTTATAAACTATATTCAAAAGAGAAATAGGACGCCAGTTTTTGATGAAGTGTCTAGGTTTATTATCTTTTGGAATGCAAGTAATGATACCCTGTTGAAAAAGTTGACCTATTTCATAACCAAAATTTATAGATCTAACTACAAAATCACCAAGTTGTCTCCAAATTTTTTTTAAAAAAAAATGACATTGAGTTTAATTGGGTATCGTTTTTACTGCTAAGATGTTAATAGAACTATGATTCCTATAAAATCAAACCAAATATTCTACTTAAATAACACCACTAGTAACATTACTCAAAAGACCGATAACACCACATTGAATATTACTGTAGACTGCTTATACTTGACTCGACAGCTGTCAATGTGGTACAGTTATATACCATTTTAAATATATTTCTTTTATATATATACAGTTCTCTTCAGTTTGAAATCGGGGCTAACAGTAGCGTAAATTAGTCGCAACACATGACTGTTGCTACACCGCAAGATATGTTACTATGCCGCAAGTTTGTTACTCGTATGGATGAGAAGGAGAGTGAGATTAATAACGATGTAAGATGATGATGATGCTGTTACATCGTTGTTGTTCGCTCACCTGAATATGTTTAAAATAATTGGTATGAAGTAAAGATATAGCACTCCATGGTAGGTGCTGTAAGTACATATGAAATTTCAGAAAAATCCATCCAGTACTTGAGATATAACAAATTTCAAACAGAGCCCCACCCCTATGCCCCATAGGGGGGTCATACCCACTGTTTATACAAGATTGAGTCCCCTTGGCCAAAGGATGCTCCAGACTAAATAAGGATAAAATCCCTAATCACGATGGTTGAAGAAGGATTTTAAAGGTTTTACCTCTATTTCCCCTAAAGGGCCCCGCCCCTCTGCCCCCAGGGGGGCCACACCCACCATTTATACAAAACTGAGTCCCCTTGGCCCAAGGATGCTCTGGACTTAATAAGGATAAAATTCCTTAATCTCTAGGGTAGGAGAAGGATTTTGAAGGTTTTACCTATTTCCCATATTCGGCCCCGCCAATCTGCCCCAAGGGGCGCCACACAGACCATTTATACAAAATTGAGTCCCCTTGGCCCAAGGATGCTCCAGACTAAATTAGGATAAAATCCCTTAATCCCTACGGTAGGAGAAGGATTTTGAAGGTTTTACCTCTATTTCCCCTTTACGGCTCGTATGAAAATAAAAATCCTTTTTATTTTAAATCAGTGTTAACGGAGGAAAGTCAATAACATTTGCTATGTAACCAAAATAAGAAATGTCAGTTTTATCCTGCTGATAAGAACGAAGAACGAAGGTTAGCGGCACGGTAACATTAACATATTTAGAGGTGTTATTTCATTTCTCAAATTCATGAAGTGCTGTCACACGTACATGTACCATATTTGGTAATGTCAAGGTCAAATATCTGGTCTCGGTCACCATATGCACGACTATAACAAAAGTCTATCGGACTTATCAGAGAGTTGAAATCTAGAACGTGACCATACTATCTTTGTGAGGGTATGTTGAACCGAAGTTTTCGAATTGTTAAACTAATGAACTAAAATATTAGATGATCATGAGTCAACTACATGTATTTAGCGGAGTATTTATCTGAAGTGATACCACGGACTTAGATAACAGATCTAATCTAATTCCGTGGTGATACTGAAGAGTTAGCCATATTGGTCAGAGATGACAATGGGCGGTATGCACAATGTATGTTTAAGGAAATCTGTGGGTAGAAATGTCACAATATATGGGTGACAATCTGTACAAATTCTTCAATTTTATTTGAAGTTATCTCCCTTCCATTGCCATGCGATTAATGATACACGATATTGTTTATTATTCTCGTGTTTGTCTGCCTTGCAATGCTGTTCAACAGCTTATTGACTAAAGCTTTGCGTTACGGCTTCACCTAATTTTCATGACAAGAAAAGGACAAATTCTAAAAAAATAATGAAGTAATTAATATATATTTTTAAGAATCCTTATTTACTTTGTACAAAAGGCAAAAGCTGCAACAAAGATTATATTATTTATCATTTCTAACTAAAGTATTGGACAAGTGATATCAGAAATCTGCCCCGTTAACCACTAGGCCAAGTAACCTGCTTACAAAGCATATACATTTTACCTTTTTAACTTTCGAGTCTCGCGTAAGCTGTAATTGAAAATAAAAATCTATCAAAGACTTGATCTGTATGCTTAATACATTTATTCAGTGGGTTTTTTTTCTACGACCCTCAGGTCATTTATTATGATGGATGACAAAATTGAAATAGTTTTCTACCATTTTAAATTATCTGTATGCATCCTTTCTAAACAGACAGTTGATTTCCAGAGGAAACAAATGATACTTTATAAATTAAAAAAAATGACATCTAGCAACTTTAAAAAAATATTTTCAAAAAATAGAAAAATATCCGCCATTAATACAATTTAATCCATTACTGGCATAAGGTCATTTACAAAACGACAGGTAATAACTCCCCAAGTAGAATGTATGCATTGTAAGCATTGTACTAAAAATGTATATGATGTACTATTAGCCTATAAAAGTAGAAATTAAACGGAGAGTGTGGGGATGGTCACCGCAAAACTTGTCATTCTCTTTACTTTCTTTTACAACTACTTGGTAGGTAGAATAACTCAGAACGTATTTTTAAGATGCTGGAACTTTTCAATAGACACACAATTTATTTTTGAAGCAAACATTAATTTAAGACATTTAAGTAATAAAAAGGTTGTAAATACTTAACACACATTTTTCTAAATAAGAATCATGTAGATCATTTTGATTATAACTCATTGATTATAATTGATGATGCAATTTTACTTTTGTAACTTTACAAAAAAGTTCATTCTGTGTATTTATTTTCTTAGAAACACCTACAGGTAGCATCTATACCATCAGCTCTTGAAGAAAGAAATCTTCCATCTGAAGTTGACATGGTGTTTTCCCCTCCATTTGTTTGTACTGTTGAAGTTGAAACAGCTGTTGATGCCATAGATTTCTGTGCTGATCATTCATGCTTCTTCAATGAAGGTAAGGAGTGAATTAATTACCAGGTTTAGTTAATTCTGTCTAATTTGAACCATATCCTCATACATGTAATTGAAATCAAAAATATGGACTCTGTATAAATATAAACAATATCAACCATTTAATGGACACTTGTTTTATAATTAACATTGCAGATGTGGATATGTCAAAAGACCATAGCTACTCTGTAGGACAGATAACATCAGACACAGCTGTAGAAGTCAGAGATTCTGCTGTCCAGACAGACTTATCCATGTGGGATATACAAGCTAATTCACAGAAACTTTAAAGACCTTGAACAGAAGCTAGGAAACAAAGATGCTCCTCTGCGGAATTTGTTTGTTGACAAAGTCACCAGAACAGATGAGAGTGTGATGCAATACACAGGAATACCATCAAGGGATTTGGTTTGTACATTTATTTTGTTTGTATTATTGGATTTATTCCAGTCAGCCCTTGTGTGATAATGTTAAATATTTAAGTCTTATTTAAATTGAGCCACATGCATATTTTGATTATATTGGTGTAATATACCTTGTATGCTAATGCATGGATCCTTATATGAATCTTTTCAGTGGTATAGCATTTTCAATATTCAAATAGGTGTACAGTGAATCAAGTACAAATACTGGGTATGATAATGTAAATTCATACAAAGTTAAGGACTTCTGATCATGATTACCTCTATTATTACATAAGTTGATAAATATTTTTTTTTAGCTTAAATTCATAGTTTTACACTGACTTTTATGGTACAAATAGTAATAATTTTACAGATTGAGCTCCAGACCAGCTAAACAATATATTGTAAATCTGAAAAAAAAGTTTTTATTATTATTTCAATCTAAATTTGTGCATTTTTTAAATTTGTCATAGGAATATTAAATAGAGCTTCTCCTACACTGAAATATTGGTCCGGCCATGGAGGTGCTAAAGAAATGCCCAGCTACCAAGAGGATTCACAAAAGCAGAAGAGTGGCCCAAAAAGAAAGCTGTGTCGTTTTGAAGAGTTCATTCTTACTTTGATAAAGCTTCGTTTGGCATTGCTGACATTTTGTCTAGCTGATATTTTCGGAACTGCAAAAAGCAGAGTTTCTCAAACTTACATCACATGGATTAACTTTATGTTTGTTATTTTCCCTCCATTATTGAAGTGGCCTTTTTCCAAAAAAGTGAAAAAATTCATGCCAAGATGTTTCCACATGCTTTTCCCAAAGACAACATGTATCATTGATTGTACAGAATTCTTTATTGAAAAGCCAAGATTACCATCAGCTCAAAGTTTGACATATAGTTCATACAAACAAAGGAACACTTTCGAAGCTCTAATCAGCATTACTCCATCTGGTTGTATTAATTTTGTTTCAAATCTATGGAGTGGTAACACATCTGACAAGTACATAACAAGAGAAAGTGGGTTTTTAGATAATATTAAACCTGGAGATGAGGTTATGGCAGACAGGTTTTTTTTGATAAGGGATTTATTATTGGAACGTCATGCAACTTTGCCACCTTTCACTCGAAAATGTTCATGGGGTAAAGGAAAACGTCTCAATGCTACTGAAATCAAGAAAACACGGAATATAGCGAATACATGTGGAAAGAGCTATTGAGCGATTGAAAATTTTTCATAGTTTATCAAACATAATGCCCTTAAGTTACAAGCCAGTAGCAAACCAGATGCTGAAAGTCAGTGCCTTTCTGTGTAATCTTCAGAGACCATTAGTGAGAAAGTGATTACTGTCATCATGCAGACGGTCGTACCTATCCAGGAATCAATCAATATTTCAATTTGCTACAATATTTGATGTTAAATTATTATATTGTACATCAATTTCCTTTTGCACAACATATGTTTGGCCTGCAAGTTAAAGGTACATGCATTTCCTGTACTTTTTTTAAAGATGCACAATATTATACAGGTGTTAACATAATCAATTATATTTTTTTTCCAAAGCCAACATTCTAAACAGACTTTTTGAAGCTTAGCTAGTGTATATATTGTACAAAATAAGAAGCTGTGAAACTTCTTATGATCTATAAGATACCTGGTAATCATTTCAATACAATGAATTTTTGAATGATACTTGTACCATGAATTCATTATGGTATGATAGGTAATAATTAATCATAAATCAACTAGCTTATGAATTTCATTTGAACAATACAAATTTTGATTATTTAAATATGTCTGTGTCATTATTTTTGTTTCATTTAGCTGTTCTGCATTACATATACATAATTATACAAGTATGTAGTACTGCATGTACTTATCTGGCAATAAGCAAATGACTGGTATACTAAGCCAATCCACTTTTATTACAGCTTCATAAGAAATGTCAAAAAAAATATTTTAATTACCTTGTAATAAGCCCAACTACCTGTTTGAGTCAAAGGTTAAAATTAGTGGACTAGTAGGAAACTAGAACTCAATACATGGATTTAAGATCAATAATGAGTTGAATTGTTCAGCACCAACCTTACCATAAAAGTTTAGTAATTTTCATATCAATTTTCTAAAGTAAGCTTTGTTCAGTTTTAACTGACAATAAACACATAGAATTGTCAGAGATTTTCTAGACATAAGATGTACACCAATACATGCCATAGATATTTCTCTATAAACATGCATAGATCTATATCTATTTTTTACTTGTGATACAATTTACTCTATTGAACTTTAGATTTTGGAAGAAATTACAAACTCAGTATTTGGGGTATCAATCAAATATCAATTTATGCACCTCTGATTGTGGATTCCAGTCATAGCAATCACTTCATCACCAGGAATAATCATTGCAACAATGCCTTAGTTACATACTTGTCCCAAAATCTTTTAGATTTTTCAACAATATGTTCATAAATCTCTGGGTCAAAATGGATTCTTTCCACAGCAAATGCCTTCTTTGTGTAGAATACCAAGTCACACCATTTTAGTTTACACACCCCCATCTGTCCATGAAACTGGATGTACCAAGGCGAATCTTTTTTCAAATGGATAACATTTGCATCATCACTGTACAAGTGGTAGTGAGCATCAGCACATGCATCTTGTGGTGTTGAATCTCTGAAGGTATAAGAACATTTGACCTCCAACAACCCTTTTCCACAACACTTACAGCAAACCAGACCATCAGGTGAGGCACCCATGAATGGATGATCAGTATCAACAAAGAAATCACACTCCCTGACTGTTGACTTCTTGTGATTAGATGCATACTGTGTAGAGTACAGTGATCGAGCAATAGGTTCATGGTCTTTGCCAAACCTCAGAATTTCTGGGGCACCTGATCTTGAGGACATAACTGGAGGTGGTGGACACATAACTTTTTTTAATATATAGTTATCATAATTCTCATTGAATCGAAAGTGTAACACTGAAGAAAATATGGAAGCTGTCACACGACCTGTCCTGTAAGCAAACCAGTCAATATTATCAGCTTGACCCCTTGTCATTTCTTCAATCCTCTGCACTGTTTTCACATCAGAATGTGTTGAAATCACTTTTGACGCCAACAAATTTGTAGCATCAACATTACCTTTCACAGTATCTGCAATTTCTGTCAAAGTTGGCGGGAAAATTTCATCATCTGAACTGTCATCATCACTTGGTGGATCCAAAGTTTGAAGAAGCACACTATCACTTTTCTTACACAACAGATAAACCTCTTTCTCCACCTGCCTCTTGGACAAACACTCTGTCCTAACCATAGGATTGTAGTTTGAAGCAGTAGCAGACTTGGGAACAGGTGTTACCTTATTTACTCTGGTATCAATGTGCTCAATCTNCCCTCTTACACAACAGATAAACCTCTTTCTCCACCTGCCTCTTAGACAAACACTCTGTCCTAACCATAGGATTGTAGTTTGAAGCAGTAGCAGACTTGCGAACAGGTGTTACCTTATTTACTCTGGTATCAATGTGCTCAATCTCTAATGGTGTAGTGGTTCTCCTCGGGTTGTCCCAAACACAAGCAACGTCTGTGCCAACCTCAGTGCTGCGGTCTTTATGTCGATCACAGGAGGCTGACAAGGCAAACAACAATGCCACACAATGCTTACATGTGCCGTCATCACTGAAAATAAATACATAAATGTTCAATGTACGGTCAAACTTCTGTAGCAGAACTGGACTGAGCGTTGGTGGCCGGATAGCTCAAATGGTTAGAGCATCTGTCTAGTGTTCGGAGGTCCCGGGTTCAAGTCCTGGTCTGCTAATTGGCATTGCATTTTCCCTCTCCTGTTAATTTGGCGCCCAACTAAATACTCAAAGGTGGTATAGGGTCTCATGTGTGTCTTCGGGGTCTCAAACTCTAACTCAAAGACCCTGCTTAACTTTAATGTAAAATTCGGTTCTGACAGTAAAATTTGTATATAAAATATATTCTGTATCCTTGAATAATAAGGGTATCTCGTAGTTTTTTCATGACCTGTCAGTAGCAAAAGCAAACAGAAATGTAGGAATGATCTTTAGGACCTTTAGCTGTGTAAACAAAGAAATGTTCATTACCCTATACAAATCCCTTGTAAGACCATATCTAGAGACCGCTGTTGTAGTTTGGGCACCCATGCTTATAAAGGATAAGATATCTATAGAAAATGTGTAAAGAAGAGCCACCAAACTGGTCCCTGGTATCAAAGACTTATCCTATCCTGAAAGAATTAAGGCTCTTGGGCTACCAACAATAGAGTACAGGAGACTAAGGTCAGAGGTGGTACAAACCTTTAAGATAATAAATAGGATAGACAACATCAAAGATGACTTTCTAAAAATCAATGCAACAAGAACAACCAGAGGTCACAACCAGAAACTTGAAAAACTGAGGTGTAGAAGTAATCTGCGTGGCCATTCGTTCAAATTTAGAATTGTAAATGATTGGAATGGTCTCTCTGATCAAGTGGTTAATGCCCCATCTCTGTTTTCTTTTAAGACCAGGTTAAACAAATACTGGATAAATCACCCCATCAAGTTCGAACCAAGTTTCTACTAATTACCTGGGTTATATAATTAACACATACAACTTCCCAAATGTTCAATCCAAATTCAGTACTTTTTTTAACTCATTAAACCCTTTAAATATCTATACTTCTAAGTACAGGTATCATGACAGGTCTATACAGGCCTGTTAGTCCTTTTTTTTAATAACTGAATACCCTCATCTTATATGAAATTGTTATACTACCCTTGTTATCACCAACTGCACCTGTAAATAATTTTCACTAGTTATTGAGAAACAGGTCTTCTTCAATACCTCCTAATGCAACCGGAAGTGAAGTGGACAGAATTAAGAAGCACCTCAAGAAGCGACTGACGCTTACAACGGTGTCTAATCAATGAACCAATGAGTGACTTCAATATATCGACGTTCGACTGTATTTGCATTAAATGTAAACAATATTATTGCAGGGGTTGTGAGAAACAAATTCACTTCTTTTGGTTACTTATATATATTTTATTTATATATTTTTTAATCCGATTGGCTCATTGTCATATCACATTCGACTTTAAATTTTGGAAACTTACGCAACACAGGTGCAACCCCCAGATTTCACATGTCCATCCTTCTGTAGGAGAAGCCACGTAGAATACGGAGTGGCACTTTGTCTGGTCTCAGGGATACACGACGCCTTGACGTACAAATGCGAGTCACTATTTGAAATGTTCCCAAGGCAGACGTCATTGATATGATGGTCCATGTAGAGTTTGTAACCATTATCGTTCTTGTAATTTTACAACCTCGATTCAGACCAACCGCATACGTTCATGAAATATATGATGATATCACAGTACTCCACATTAGGGGCAGAAGTCATATCAGACATCCAGGACTTTACCTTGCTGAGGTCATCCAATACAGTTGAATCAACAGTGCGTCTCAGGACGTCCATGTGGTGGTAGTCATCACAGGTCACAACCTCCAAGTCCAACTCGTTTGCTAGCTTGCACAGTCTAACTAAATCGTTTTTACGGTACAAACTGCATGCTATACCCCTCTCTTGCAAATAATGTTTCAAAAATGGCACCTGAAATCCCTCAAAATCTATCCCGGTAAAAATATTTGTATCGCAAGTTGAAAAAGTTGTGAATGTTGAGGAATGTCAGCGTAAACCGGAAGTTTACATGCCTCGATTTTCGTTTCCATGGGTACTCTTTTTTACCTCCACACAGGAGTTTCTTATAACCCGGAACAGAGCTCTTCCGTCAAAATTTGTTAGAAAATAGTGCGTTAATTATTTATTTCCTTGATACGAGCAGTACACAGTTTAATCAAATGAATATAGGCCTACACCAATTTGATTACAAAAGTACAGTATTTGTTTTGGTTCCTGTCGACTGAAATTATCTATTTTTATCAAGCTATGTTTAGTAATAATTGCTTTCTTGGAAATACCCTAACTTTTTTTAGATTTAGAACAGCGGAAAGCGGAATGACATGATGACGGATTGCTTAAAACGGAGCCGGTGTCTGAAGTTTTCGTCTTAACTCATTTATGACGTCTACATTGGATTTTATTTTTCATAAATGGGAAACGCTTGAGATATTGTGTGACCAAATTATAACTGGGTACACGGTACTGATTTGAATAGCAGAATTTTGAAAAATAGTGAATAGACTATCACTGGTTCCGTTTGCATGGAGAAAGGAAAATCACATGGTTCGAAATACACTGATGTTAAATTAGTTACCTAGCTAATACAAATAACGATCATACTTCGGACTAGACTGTTATACTAAGGATTACTCTCCGCAATTGGTTTTGGCAATTGTTACACACACATCTTTTTTCTCTCTCCAAAAATCATATATTACAAGTTGGTTTACAAGATTGCATACTTTTAATTCGGGAAAATAAAAAAATAAAAAGTTGGCCTTACTGTAAAATTTACAATAAACAAACACCATGTCTGGTCCTAGCTGTGTGTTCTTTATAAATATTCCCTATACTTTTCATTACCTGGTCCTATAGAGAAGGTGTTCTCACAGCAACCACAGTATACACAGGTGTTTCAATATTACTGTTTTTAATGTCGTCAACAGAAATTTGTATTATCATGGAAGCCGTATTCCAAGGGTTGAGCTATCTTACGTTATCTAGTGAAGTGAGGATATCGACAGGACACATATATCGATGTAACTTAACTATATAGTACCGACTGTCTGACTGGTGTATTTTGACCCCTAATATTATGGTGTGCACAAGGAAAAACAAAGTCATATCGACGCTGGCTTTACAAAGTTCATGATTTCGTTTGAAAGTTATTAATAAAAATTGCATACAAGTACAATCGGTTAAATAGAAACATAATTAGATCTAACCAGGAAATAATTTTAATCACGGAAATCGAACAGGAACTTTGTTCTCTTTAGCAATTATCGTTTGGCTTTGAAATCTCCTTACTGTTGCGAAGACTCCATCAATTTTGATGATTATGTTTTCATGATAATCATATAAATGCTTCCGGAATGAGATTCATATCTGTTTGGTTTGAATAAGAAATGCTAAGTTTGTTTTTGACACAGATGTAACAGGTGAGGAAAAATGCATGGCCAGACCGGGGTTCGAACTCAGGACCCTTCCGAACTCTAGACGGACGCTCTACCCATTCAGCTACCTGGTCGCCGACGATCGACCTTGTCCAGTTCCGCTACACAAACAAGAAGTGAAGCTTATTTTGCGAGCTTTCGAAAACGTTTGTTTCCTTCGTCAAGCAAAGAATCCAAGCGTAAATGACCGGTTAAGGAACGCCACGACTGTCTTATCTCCATTGTCTTTATTATGTTGGGTTAACAAGACATACCATTATGTTGGGTTGACATGTCATTATGTTGGGTTGACTTGTCATGAAGTTCGGGTGACATGTCGTTATGTTGGGGTGACTTGTCATGACGTTCGGTTGACATGTCATTATGTTTGGTTGACTTGTCATGACGTTCGGTTGACATGTCGTTATGTTGGGTTCACTTGCCATGACGTTCGGTTGACATGTCGTTATGATGGGTTGACTTGTCATGACGTTCGGTTTACATGTCGTTATGTTGGGTTCACTTGTCATGCCGTTCGGTTGACATGTCGTTATGTTGGGTGGCTTGTCATGACGTTCGGTTAACATGTCATTATGTTTGGTTGACTTGTCATGACGTTCTGTTAACATGTCATTATGTTTGGTTGACTTGTCATGACGTTCTGTTAACATGTCATTATGTTTGGTTGACTTGTCATGACGTTCTGTTAACATGTCATTATGTTTGGTTGACTTGTCATGACGTTCGGTTGACATGTCGTTATGTTGGGTTGACTTGTCATGACGTTCGGTTAACATGTCATTATGTTTGGTTGACTTGTCATGACGTTCGGTTGACATGTCGTTATGTTGGGTTGACATCGTGTTGAGTATTCAACACGAGCGGGCGGGGTACATGTTTACCCATTTCGCTCTGTAGTGGATGTTAAAATGAGACGACAGTTTTAACTCGCATGACGTAGTGTCCCACTTTACCAATTTACATCAGTGGACGACGTCTTTTTTACCGCCATTGCTGTTGTTCACAATACATTCAGTCCTCGGGTACATCGACATGCTGGCCCGTTAGTTATAACTGTATATTATAAGGATAGTTGTAAAAAGAGGTCCATGGGGTCCGTGTTGCCCAACTCTTTTTATTTTAAATCTCAAAAATGAAAAAATATAAAAACGTTTCTGAAAAATGGACCTAGTCTACATATTTGGTTTCATTTCCAATTAAGTTATTCAGCTGTCAGAAAATTTGACGGAAAACAAAGGGTAATGACGCCACATGCAGCTATGTGTATATTAAACGTCACCGTGATGCAGCCAGTGTTAGAACTACTGACGTCACAAACTACCTGTGTGAGAGGTTTAGACGTGACACCCTACTTGTGTTGGAGGGTATTACTGACGTCACATACTACCTGTGTGAGAGGTTTAGACGTGACACTCTACTTGTGTTGGAGGGTATTACTGACGTCACAAACTACCTGTGTGAGAGGTTTAGACTTGACACTCTACTTGTGTTGGAGGGTATTACTGACGTCACATAAGCTACCGTTGTAAGAGGTTATAAGTCTGATGACGTCACAAGCTATCTGAGTACGGAGGGAATTTACGAGACAGAGGGTAATATCACAGGGACTCGAGAATTTGTTACTGCTATATTTGGACCTAGGTGTTCAGAATAATTTTACACGTTTTAAGAGTTTAAATCAGTTCTCGAAGATCTTTTTTGTTTACCATTTTGTTGCAAAACTGGACATTATTTCAATAGCAGCGTTTTTATTCATTACCAAATCTTAGTAGTCTGTGCCTATAAATACGATTTCAGCTTATATATATTTACAATTTACATTCATTGTACATGTGTATGAAATGGAAATGTGAGAGTTCCATTAATAAGTAAAACAACTCACTTGTACAATCAAATTTAGAAAAATCGGTTTCAAACTTATCCTTAAATGAAGCTGTATAAATCGTCTGCCAAATTGTCAGATGAAAGCCTTATTTTCAGGAACACAAAATGAAAACGCGTGCACTGTTTCACTAACCACGTCTATAGGCCAATATGGCACAAGTGCTGACATTAAAGCCGAGAAAGGAAAACTTGAATATCTGAAAAAGATGACGAATTCGTACTAAATCATATAAAAAAGAGGATAAATTTGTGAAAGCGAATGATAGCGTTAAAAAGGCGATATTACAAAGTGGAAAAAACAAAGGATCATTCTCCTTGTTAATCCGCTGAATGTTACAGAAACAATTAACTGCTAATCAGTTTACTCTCCACAGACAACTAACCTTCAATCAAATTCTCAGAAATTAGGAATCGTCGCAGTATCTGCCATTGATATGGAAACTTCATCCTCAATCACACGATGAAGAGATTGCTTTTAACGGAAGTCAAAAAACATTCACCACCGAGGGAAACAGAAGCAGAAGCACCATTTCCAATGGAACTTTAAAAGCACATTACAGACTCACCCTTAATATATAGTTCACAAAATACATGATCATAACGGCCGTGAGAAACAGTTTTGGAGTCTGAAGATGAGCTTGCTCTGTGTCAATCATCGCCGTTTTGTTTGAATTGTGACATTTTTTCTGAAGTGAGGTGTAAGCTAACGAAGATTTGAAAGGTAAACGCGACATGTGCATATGCCTTCAAGAAAAAAGTCGCAATATATTAAAATATTTCATATATTTTACATTAATTATGAAAGACGTTCTCCAACTTATATATGCGGAGGGTCTTAATGTGGAAGGAACCCGGAGTACCCAGAGAAAACCCACGTGGTCGGGCAGGTGACCCAACCTTTTCACCTCCGCTCGTCTACAACATCCGTCAGTATAAACAATTATTTCAGGCTATTCTAATTATCAGTAAAGTTGCTTGAGTTTTATTTTGAATTTTATGACGCTAACCCTGGTCATTGTCAAATAAGCACGTAGCATTAACTGTATGGTCTTCGCTCAAAATTTGAAAATATATAATCCATATTAAAAGCACAGCCTCTAGCTTGATTCCCTATACGTTGATATTTTCCAGTTACATTTCATAATAAAACAATAGTGCATTATATATTAAGACATATATTTTTGCTGAAGTCCTCAGCATTATTTTATCATGTGTATACAATGTATGATATATCTATATATTATCACTTAATTGAATATTACTAGTTAATGCCACACTATGTGGCATTGACACAAGAAAATGCTTTTACATGACTGATCTACGAGAGAAACCAACACGAACTCAATGTCGATATATGAAACGGGGCATGAGCAAGTCTGGTATTTGATGAATCTCTACCCAGAATTTTCGTTCCTTACACTAAGTGCGTGTACATCGATTGTGTACATCCGGTTGTTTTGTAGTGCCTGCTCTGCAATGATCCACACGATCGATCACATTTAGTGTGATGTTGCTAGTAATTACTGAAAAAATAAGTTACTGGAGCAAATGTGACGTGAGTTTGCGTTCGAATTATCACATGCACATCGTTTGTGTAGATAACACCCAATCTATAACGTTACATGCATTAAATCATAGTTGTTTGGATTTGGTAGGTACATTCACATTGTACAAGGGCAAAATATCATTCCAAATCCGGCAACATTCTGCACGTGGTCCGGACAACAGGGATTGAAGCTTGCGGTTTGTAAATTTCTGAAATAAATAATACGTGTTTAGTGCTTATGTGGTTGTTATATATATTTCATCTTTATATGTAATATAACGAGTATTGTATGTTCGCTCGTTTTATGATATGGCTACACCCATGACTGACCCGGTAGTGATTACGTGTCGCTTAAAATACATTTAAAAGATTGTTGGATGATGTCCGTACATAGGTTGCGTTCGTGAAGGTAAGGGTTTCTATTGTATTTTATACAATATCAGTTTTTATACACGGCGAAGAGATCCGTACATGTCACTATTATCCTTATACATAAACGTTACATTGGTACATGAAGTCACAGGTGGTTTTTTTTTCGTAGTCATGGATATATATAACGTTTTAAAAGACAATGTGAGGAGCGATAAGTAATTTAACTGAAAAAAGTATAAACAAATGATTACATTTGTATATTGTATATTTTGTCATTTACCGTCAGCTCGACTAGTTACACATAAAATAAGCTTGATACCATTGGTTAACCATTGGTGAATATATTTTTCCCTGCGTTGTGAGTTATTCGTAACGGACAAACACGCCACATAACGGGCGACATTAGAGATAAGTTAAAACATGTGACTAGTGAGAAAAATAAAATTAGGTGACGTAATAAACGTACGTTTATGAGCGACTGTTTATGAAAATCCATAAATACCCAATCATTTTCCACTAGTAATTTAGTAGCACTAAGGGTATGGTGTTTCTAGATTAATAACTAATGGGTTTTTTACGGAAACACATCCTGATACTCCATGGGTTACACTTGCTTTCATACTGTGCAGAACGTAAGTGAGTGTGACCCCAGGAATTTCGAGGATTGGTTTGTATCCGCTTTACCTCCGAATAGTTAAGTCATCTAGCAGAGGTTACTAAAGGGAAACTACTCATCATATACAATGATATCAGAAACTTAGTTTAAGATGAAGATTGTCGGACTCCTAAAATGTAACCATTTGCACACCACAGTGGGACTGGAGGATTATACGTTATTTAATTATTTCTCGAAACCAATTCTTAGAATACACGTGCCCATGAAGTTATGTCATTATTAAACTGTTTTTTCCCGGTTATTTTGGATTTCTGAAAAAAATCCCCCGACTTGGACATATCAGAGACATACGTGTCTGGACACATGCTATGCAAACGTTACAATATAAAAACGATATTAGCCAAATAATATCCTTCAATGTCTGTGATAAATCCGTGAAAAAAGGTATTTATTAATATCCCTATTCAGATTTGTATTTATGTACGTTATCATCTCCTTCAATCAAAGGCTCGTTTCATAAATTTGTCTTTACTCTCTATACTAGAATATATATCAAGGTTTTAGGTTATCATCATTGAATTCTATCAATTCAAGTTGATGATTTACAACTTTTTACGATAATTTAAGAGTATTGTATCGTAACAACACCCGAAAAAGTACTTTATGGAAACTGCAAAGGACAATCACAAAAATGATTTTTTATTTTACTAAAACCTAGGTAATTTTTGTCCATTATTGTTTTAACTATCTGTGATATCTTAGATATATATGTGCTCGTATTAATTATTTAAATTGTCTTAACCGGAACTGACGTGTTCTTTTAAACTTTTATGGGTTATCCAAGATAATCTAGTCTGTAAAATGGTGTATATCTTTTGTTTGTACCACTTGTGTCATTATAATGCCTTTTACCTGAATACACATTATCATAATTATTATTAAATAAAATTATCGCTGCTTTAAGATAGTTAAACATTGGAAACCTTCTACTTGATTTGATAGCTCCAGTGTTTAATAGCATACATTTGTATGTTATTATTTTCATTGAATTCTTTTGTTGTGACTTGTCCATATGCGTGAATTCCGGATTTGCTTTTTTTCTTTAGAAAAAACTTATAAACTTCCGGCAGTACCCGAAGCACGCGGTGGGCATATTTTTCTAACCAATTAGCATGTATAAAAAATAACCGGTTTCTTATTCTCGTTAGTGTTATTAAAATGGATACACATTCTTTCAGTTCATTCTTTAATATTGGAAAAAAATGAGTGTTTATATACGAAGAAATGTATTGTCGCCATGGAGAGTCAACAGTGCCAGTGGCGAGTCCATGCTTATGCTGTCTAGGAAAGCCCACTGCCGATTGAAATTAATAACAATATAGAATCTATTATCGCTACCACCTATACACGATAAACAACAGAACAAAACACGATGCAGTTATTCCAGTGGTGGGAACCTGTGGTATTATGTTGTTAAACTGCAATAAATGTAATTGTTACTACATGATTTGCTGTTATACTATACAATTAGTCAATTATGGACTTAAGGTTTGGTCTCTCCATTATTTACGGACCAGGTCTGTAAATCAGGGATAGACCGACACTGAAGTCAGACAATTGTTTTATCATATGACATTTTACAATGAAGTTAATCATTGTTCATGTCATAAACACAAATACATTCCATCATTCTTGAGATTTGAAGCATTTTCTTACATTTTTTCTCTCGATAATAGTGAATACACAGATACTTCAGGAATGCATGTACAGGTAAGTTTTTTCATGAATTATAATATTCTTGAAATGGAATTTTGCGCCATTCAAATTCTGCATTCAGAAGTTACTTTTCAGACAAAACCAACACTATTTTCGACAAAGAATTTCTGCAAGGGTCATTATTGACATTGTTCTTGACATGGGCAAATCAAGCAACTTCCATTTTTTTCAATTTAATGAAAGTTATGAGCACCACATACAGTACCTGTATGAAATACCGTTTAACACATCTCTCGCAGCAGTACGTAGCTCTATCAAAAGGGCAGGTAACTCTCAGATCAAAATTTCTTGAAATCCGTGATCCGTAACATTTCACACCCAGGTAAGAATTATGTTGCACATACTATTCTTAATTTTGCAAATGTTCTCGATATTTTGTCCAGTTATCTTTCGACAAGAGTTTTTGTTGTAATCCCAAATAATCGTCGCCATACTTCAGGCTGGCCTACGACCAAAATGCATTGTGCAGCGTCGTATTTGTTCTGGCCATCTGGGTATAACGCTATGGTCTCCGCACTTCTCGGTAGGCGTCTATGTATCATATCTATTGTTAGATTTGACCTAGATATACTTTTGTATGGTACCCAAAATGGAACACCTCATCACATACAAGTCATACAAGTCAGTTTATGAAAAAAACTCATAGCATTTAAGGCATTTTTTGTTAATTCCAAAAAAGCTTCGATACTTTCTGATGAATAAAAAACACTTCCGGCTTAACAAATGTGTAGGATATTGAAATTGACGCACCATATCATATCCCGGGATAATTTTTCGTTTCATTTTCGAAATTTCCAAATGAGATAATGAATAACATACAAGAGATTGGCCGACAAAACTTGCTCCAATCGCTTAACCTGCTGGGCACTAACGTTAGAACTTGCATTACGCCATTAGCAATGCAGTGGTTTGTCCGTTATTTGAAGAAACCGAGATCAGCCTACGTGTAGTTTTTATTTCGCTTTCAGTTTTCCTATGTTACGTGTACTTATTTAATCACTGACTTCTAGGTACATTATTCGTGTCTGGTTGTAGGAAAAGCTAAAGAGTAGTCACTTGCTGTTGTGGAAGTAACTTCAGTCATTAGATCTCCCACAACCATTGTATGTTCTCTCACTCCCGTCTCATTGGGTAAACCTGCTAGGAGAGGGTAAACAATTTGGTTACCTACACCCTGGACGTGATTTCATCTGTCAATCTTCTAACTATGACATCAAGTAACAATGCTTTGCGACGTCATCTGCCATTGTGACGTCATGGTTCATGGCACTATTTCCCCGATCATCAACAGGATTAATGTATTCCGAAGAGAAACATCAGGTTTTCTGGATATAATATCTGAACGTTGTGGGAGAAAAAGGCGCCTAAACTCGTGATGGTTGATAATCATGTTTATCTAACTCTCGTTAATTAATTAACAAATGTAAAAGACATTCGGTAAACCTGGTGTCTTAAATTAACTAATTCGAGTTAGATAAACATGATAACCAACTATCACTCATTTGGGAACCTCTATATATACTAAACCAGTCCTTGCACAGAGACCTGCACCAGTAAATATCATATAGTGTACACCGACACCTTTAAATTTTCGTAAACTGAAAGTAACACGGTAAGGCAACTTACAGGTGATAGTTGCATTATATGAAATAACAAACTTGTATACAACTCGGATATTAATATATTGAACATAAACAAATGAGAATAAATACATATAAAGGTTGGATATAAATATTCTAAATTAGTTCAGTAATACATTTTAAAAAGCTAACCGTGTCTCGCATGAGTGTATACTATTTTCATACAAACGGATATTGATATCCATCTCCTAATTCATTTCTCGTGGACTTGCACATGTATGTTACATTTTTTTTAATAGGATACCTTAGTTACGCCTGTACATGTCCAGAGTTTTTCCGTCGTCAAACTTTCCCCCGAAGTTCCGAAGTTTTGCCATTTTCGAGAGAGATCAGAACATGTAACAAGAAACGCCAATCGTGAAAAAAACCCAGACGGTACACAGTTTCACTGAACTGATTTTTGTTTGGTTCCGGCTTGACTTTCAGGTCAGTGGATATGAGTTTATATAAATCGATAAAAGCAGGGCTTTTGTGTACTACGTCACAAACAACAAACACGCCTGTCACATAGTCACATTGCATGACTAGCCTGTTGCGTGCAGTAGCCACAATTTAATTAATTCTTCAAAGTTCCATCGTTATATTACCCTTTGCCATTGTATCGTACACACACAAACATCTCTGCAAAGAAACAAAGCGAGCAACATGAGCAAAAAAACTGTTAGGTAAAACGGATCGTTTTCGCCCATGGCTGTCTGCTATCATTTTACTTTCACTTTCTAGCGTATTCTATTCAATGAATAGGCCAGAAAGTGAAAGTAAATTAATGCGACAGAAAGTGAAAGTGGATTCTGCAAGTATTTGACAGGGATTACAGTATTCCAATACAAATCACTGAGGTCATAATTTACAATAATGACCGAAAAGTTAAATAAACCCACGTGCAGTCAGCAACATTTCCATCCAATCTGATTTTGTAAAATAGGAAAAAATGCATGTCACCAAGACACTAAAGAGTTCGATCAGATATCAAAAGTCGAAAATGCAGAACAACAAAAGGAAATGAGAAGGGGGGAAAAAACAAGAGAAAGACATCGCGAACTGCCGCCAAAAATTAAAATAAAAAACCCGAAAAATGTTCTGGAAGGATAAGTGTTTCCGGCAATACGAGTGGTACCTGTACCTGTACTAATGGCTTCAACTATACATGCGATCGAATGCCAAGGGAGATAATTCACCCATGACTCAACGTTTGATGATGACTCCGGAAAAATATTTTTCACATTAATCATTGAAAGGGGATGCATGGCATTAAATCGGAATTCTAAACTAGCTTGCCGATTAAAAAGTATTAACCATAAATCTGTTTCTAAATCGACTGATTCGTTGGTTGGTTATACAGAGTTTAACGTCGTAGTTTCTAAATCGGCTGATTCGTTGGTTGGTCAGAGTTTAAGGTCGTATCTACCGAAATTTATGAGATAATTTATTTTTAATTTTTGTGAGAGGCATGCGTATCTCCAACGATAGCTCGGGAATACTTGATCCCTATACAACTTTCACATCCAGCACCACAATAATTATGTATAACTTATATGGAAAAATATCCAAGTTTTCGCTTTCCCTAAGAAACATTGATTTAGAGATTCCCTAGTCTTTTTTCACCAATTAAGCATTACTGAGGTATGACAAGCTGTCTGTTTAACCTTGATTAAAATATTTAAAAAAAATATGTTTGAGAGTCTTAATTAGAAACAAGAACGATGCGAGATTAACGACTTCTCTTGTTACGTTATTAAGTCAGACTTGCATGTTTAATTATAAGGTAATATCAACTGATTATAACGACCCGTTGGATTTTGGAGGTGGGTCTGTCTGTCCATCCACGTTTTGGTTCCCTCAAAATAACGTGTTTCGCAATCGCATTATCTATATTAGGAGGCGATTATCTACAGTTTGTCGTAATTCACTTAGAATACTCGGTAGTGTTTTTAGTATTGTATAAAAGATGACGCGTTTTAATGAATTTCATCGACAAATATATATTTTTATTTACAATTCAATCTTATTTATATAAAAAAGGGTCTGTATTTTGTAAGTAACAAAATTATTTTTATGAGTACTTGTTAAATTTCATCGACTTGGTCCATGTACTTTTAACGTGTGATCACTGATAATTACTAGTTCATATATATTCATTATTCATCCCAAGGAAACAAGTTGGTCACGTAATTGAATTTATGGAGAATATCACACATCGCCAGATCGTTTGCACCAGATCTTTGATAACTTCGCCATATATTTACAGTGTTGTTATTCTGCACTCTGATTGGCCTGCTTACTGCTTAAAAACGGATTATTTTACTTCAAATTAGCTAAAAATGATTTATTATCGACCATTAAATAAAAATTACCATGAATAGCACATAGCAAGAAATCAAAAAGATGCTTCTACTTTTCCGTCACCGATGTTCATTTTTTAGCTCACCTGGCACGAAGTGCCAAGTGACCTTATGCCGTGGCGCGGCGTCCGTCGTCCGTCCGTCCGTCGTCTGGCGTCAATATTTTACTTTAAACGACTTCTTCTTAATAACCGAAAGGCCTAGGGTGATGATATTTGGCCCGTAGCATGCTGAGATAAAGGGCTACAAAGTTTGTTCAAATGAATGACCTTCACCCATATTCAAGGTCACAGGGGTCAAATATGTTAAAAACTTTAAACAACTTCTTCTGAATAACCAAAATGCCCAGGGTGATGATATTTAGTCAGTAGCATACTAGGATCAAGGGCTACAAAGTTTGTTTAAATGTATGACCTTGAATCATATTCAAGGTCACAAGGAGCAAATATGTTCAAAATATTTAAACAACTTGTTCTGAATAACCAAAAGGCTCAGGATGTTGATATTTAGTCAGATCAAGGACTACTATGTTTGTTAAAGTGAATGACTTTGACTTATATTCAAGGTCACAGGGGTCAAATTTGTTTAAAATCTTTAAACGACCTCTTCTGAATAACCATGGGTCCCAGGATGTTGATACTTTGCAAGTTGCATACTGAGATGAAAGGCTATAAAATTTGTTCAACATAATGACTTTGTTCGACTTTCAAAGTAACAAGGGTGAAATGTTTTAAAATCTTTTAACAGGTTCTTTTGAATGACTTTAATCATAAATACTGATATTTTGCCTGTAGCTTTATTTTAGATCACTTTTAAGGTTGCAAATGTGAGATTTATACCAGGTGAGCGATGCAGGCCCATTGGGCCTCTTGTTTCGTGTCTAAATGGGGTGATTCTTTAGATAAATATATTTGATTAAATATGTCTCGTTCATATCATTTCAGGTTCGATGAATCCTCAAACTAGCCATGGGCATTCATGGAAACAGAATGTAGTGTCTGTCCTATAGGAACACATAGCACACTACGTTTATGGGGGTTCAGTAGGCCTTATAAACGTAAACCTTCGGTCAAACTAAAGGATAAGGATTAGGGGAAGAGTGGAATACAATTTCTATATTGTTTAATTCCCACTCGAAAGGACGGCTTAACCCTTACAACCAACCATCTTGACCATTGGACTGCCAATCTGACCAACGCTTCTGAACGCTGCTGTTAACGCTAAATAAATAGTTTATGGTTGTTTCTTTGTACTACTCAGGTTATCTTTTGTTTGCGAAAAGCAGATATAGACAGTTATAAGTTATTTGTTTTGTTTCTATTGTTTGATCAATGGAGAGTCTCGCTTAGTATTGTATTAAATTATTGATTGAAAAGTTTGAAGAGTGTGGTGGCGTGAATTTTGATATATTGACTGCTACCGTTTCAGTATTGTTTTACTCGTTTATAAATTGTAAATCACACTCGGCGTTACAATGACAAGTAACGACAAAGATAGTTCCATGAATGTGTTAGGTCCATCATTAACGCTATCCAGCTCTGACCATTTAACCGCAAATCTGGAAAATCTGAGTTTGTCCAGTTCCCTCGGTACTCCAGCGGATATACCCGACTTTGTACATCTCGACCCCTCATGTTACTGTGTTCATTGTAAGAACGTAGTAAGAGAAGCATTACAACTTGTATGTGGCCATCACGTGTGCAGCCATTGTCTGGATCCCCTGTTTGGTGACCAAGAAGTTAAAGAGTGCTCCGTGGACGATTGCGTAGACCAGATAAGCAAAGTTGAGGTGAATACATGAAGCTATCAACTTTAACAAAAGTTAAAAAACGATGTTTTTGTACTCTAAGTGAAACGGTTTCGTTATTAGAGTACCAAAGAGTATGTGCTATTATTCTTTTAAGCACAAACAAAAAATGATACAAAATTCATAATATGGACAGCAAACATACAATATACGTCATTGACGTGCATTAAAGGAGTCTATGCTAAGTCAAAGCTAGTATTGTGTACGACAGTATATAAGTAAGTTTACATAATGAGATAGTGCTGAAGTGCTGGCGGATTTTTGATTTAATTAGTTGTTTCTTTGCCTCTGTATTTATTCATATATTTGCCATCGCAATTTCGCCCCGAAAAAAAGTCATGATAATTGTCTTTTAGCTCGACGTTATTTTGTTTTTGCGTTCTTTAATATTTTGACCCCGAAGTAATAAGAAAACAAACGAACAGCAACAATGGCGATTATTTCGGTGTAAAACCAAGAAACAACTAGGATAAATTGTAACGCCAAGCGAAAATAGCTTATTAATAATGGTAATAATTATTTTCAATTAATGTTGGTTCTAGGCGAAGTAACGAGAAAACGAAAGGTAAAAGCATAAGACCATATACAACTTAGCTTAGTTTTAAATACGTAGTGCCATGACGATTTAGTAAATTATTTTCGTTTTCCATTTAGGTCTTCCCAGACGCTTTCAAACGACGAGAAGTTTTGAACCAGAAGGTATTCTGTACCTTTAAGAGCCGTGGTTGTGACGCTATAGTGACATGGAAAGATCTCAAGGTATTGTATATCCTTCCTGGCTTTATCATGAAGCGAAATCATTGCTGAATAAAAAACAGTTTCTTATTATAGATTCTAGAATCAACTATTATAGCTCCAGCTGAGAGCTATCATTTCTAGAATCAACTATTATAGCTCCAGCTGAGAGCTATCATTTCTAGAATCAACTATTATAGCTCCAGCTGAGAGCTATCATTTCTAGAATCAACTATTATAGCTCCAGCTGAGAGCTATCATTTCTAGAATCAACTATTATAGCTCCAGCTGAGAGCTATCATTTCTAGAATCAACTATTATAGCTCCAGCTGAGAGCTATCATTTCTAGAATCAACTATTATAGCTCCAGCTGAGAGCTATCATTTCTAGAATCAACTATTATAGCTCCAGCTGAGAGCTATCATTTCTAGAATCAACTATTATAGCTCCAGCTGAGAGCTATCATTTTCACTTATCTTTTAGTTTAATCAATGATTTATTTATCTAAATGAAAGGCTGTATAAAAAAAGGAATCACAGGTTAGCAGACAGCTTAGTTTTTTTGTCATGTCGTGTTGGAAATAGTTATTTATGTGTAGTTCCGACAATTTTCCTTTCACATTTGATACGAATGGGCGATATAAGATTCAAGTCTCATAGTAAAGGCCATATTATAATTTTTTGATGTATAGCAAATGTCATATTTAAGGCTGTTTTCTAATATACAAAATGTCATCAAAATTAAGTTTATATATATATTCATTTAGCAAATGTTGTTATGGTCCTATAACACACATTGCTAATGATGACAAACTTAATAAAGCCCGATATTGCTTTATGAAAGATAGTAAGCAATAGAAATGTGTGTTATAGGACAATCTACATGTTCAGAGAGAGAAAGAGAGACTGTCCTAACCATCCACATGTTCAGAGAGAGATGGAGAGACTGTTCTGACAATCTACATTTTCAGAGAGAGATAGAGAGACTGTTCTGTCAATCTACATGTTCAGATAGAGATAGAGAGACTGTTCTGACAATCTACATGTTCAAATAGAGATGGAGAGACTGTTCTGACAATCTACATGTTCAGAGAGAGAAAGAGAGACTGTTCTGACAATCTACATTTTCAGAGAGAGAGAGATAGAGAGACTGTTCTGACAATCTTCATGTTCAGAGGGAGATAGAGATACTGTTCTGTCAATCTACATGTTCAGAGAGAGATGGAGAGACTGCTCTGACAATCTACATGTTCAGAGAGAGATAGAGAGACTGTTCTGACAATCTACATTTTCAGAGAGAGAGAGATAGAGAGACTGTTCTGACAATCTTCATGTTCAGAGGGAGATAGAGATACTGTTCTGACAATCTACATGTTCAGAGAGAGATGGAGAGACTGTTCTGACAATTTTCATGTTCAGAGAGAGATAGAGAGACTGTTCTGTCAATATACATGTTCAGAGAGAGAGATGGAGAGACTGTTCTGACAATCTACATGTTCAGAGAGAGATGGAGAGACTGTTCTGACAATTTTCATGTTCAGAGAGAGATAGAGAGACTGTTCTGTCAATCTATATGTTCAGAGAGAGATAGAGAGACTGTTCTGACAATCTACATGTTCAGATAGAGATGGAGAGACTGTTCTAACAATCTACATCTTCAGAGAGAGATGGAGAGACTGTTCTGACAATCTACATGTTCAGAGAGAGATAGAGAGACTGTTCTGACAATCTTCATATTCAGAGAGAGATAGAGAGACTGTTCTGACAATCTACAGTTTCAGATAGAGATGGAGAGACTGTTCTAACAATCTACATTTTCAGAGAGAGATGGAGAGACTGTTCATATAATCAACATGTTCAGAGAGAGATATAGAGACTGTACGACAATCCACATGTTCAGAGAGAGATAGTGACCATTCTGACAATCCACATGTCCAGAGAGAGATAGAGACAGTTCTGACAATCTTCATGTTCAGAGAGAGATGGAGAGACTGTTCTGACAATCTACATGTTCAGAGAAAGATAGAGAGACTGTTCTGACAATCTTCATGTTCAGAGAGAGATGGAGAGACTGTTCTATTAATCAACATGTTCAGAGAGAGATAGACTGTTCTGACAATCCACATGTTCAGATAGAGATGGAGAGACTGTTCTCATAATCAGCATGTGTAGAGAGAGATAGAGAGACTGTACGACAATCCACATGTTCAGAGAGAAATAGAGACGGTTCTGACAATCTACATGTTCAGAGAGAAATAGAGAGACCATTCTGACAATCCACATTTTCAGAGAGAGATAGAGACTGTTCTGACAATCTACATGTTCAGTTGGAGGTAGTTTCATAAGATCATTATCTTCAGATTGTCTACAAATCAGTGAAATGTCATTTATGTTTGTCTATTTTAGGGCATGATTAGCTAAAGCTGATTATAGCGTAAATTAATAAAACAAGCATTGTTTTCGATTGAAATATTTATAAATTGTTGGTAAAACTGATTTTGTTCTGTTTCAAGAATCACATAATCCGTTGCGAGTTCGCCTTGATTCGATGTCGTCGAGCACTAGAAGGATGTCAAGAGTTGCTGTCCAGAGATCAATACGACGTTCACATCAACGGGAAGTGTGATTTCCTACCCGTCACATGTAACAATTGTAAAAATATCACCCTCAAGGGAAGATTCCAAGTAAGTATTGTCACTGGTCTCCATGAATATCATCTATCACAAGAAGACAAACACGAACATATCGCAGCCTCCCAAAACACACACATACCCTACATGCAACCATGGCTGTTGATAGGACATTAAACAATACTAAACCAAACCAAACCAAACCTCAGGGGAGATTGTCATCGATCGCTTACATGTCACCCTCAATGGGAGACAGGAAAGACTTCCAAGTAAGCAACAGCACCTTAAATGCGATATTCTTAGTAAGTTTTGATTACGGACCAAACACAACACACTAAAGGGAGCCTATTATAACTGAACATGTAGACTGTTAGAACGGTCTCTCTATCTCTCTCTAAACATGTAGACTGTTAGAACGGTCTCTCTATCCCTCTCTGAACATGTAGACTGTTAGAACGGTCTCTCTATCTCTCTCTGAACATGTAGACTGTTAGAACAGTCTCTCTATCTCTCTCTGAACATGTAGACTGTTAGAACGATCTCTCTATCTCTCTCTGAACATGTAGACTGTTAGAACGGTCTCTCTATCTCTCTCTGAACATGTAGGTCGTTAAAACAGCCTCATTACCTCCCTATGAATATGTAGACTGTTAGAACAGTCTCTCTATCTCTCTCTGAACATGTTGGTCGTTAAAACAGCCTCATTACCTCCCTCTGAACATGTAGACTGTTAGAACGGTCTCTCTATCTCTCTCTCTCTGAACATGTAGACTGTTAGAACGGTCTCTCTGAACATGTAGATTGTCAGAACAGTCTCTCTATCTCTCTCTGAACATGTAGATTGTTAGAACAGTCTCTCTAGCTCTCTCTGAACATGTAGGTCGTTAAAACAGCCTCATTACCTCCCTCTGAACGTGTAGATTATTAGAACAGTCACTCTCTCTCTCTCTGAACATGAAGATTGTTAGAACAGTCTCTCTTTATCTCTCTCTGAACATGTAGATTGTCAGAACAGTCCCTCTATCTCTCTCTCTCTGAACATGTAGATTGTCAGAACAGTCTCTCTATCTCTCTCTTAACATGTAGACTGTTAGGACAGTCTCTCTATCTCCCTCTGAACATGTAGATTGTCAGAACAGTATCTCTATCCCTCTCTGAACATGTAAATTGTCAGAACAGTCTCTATCTCTGAACATGTAGATTGTCAGAACAGTCTCTTTATCTCTGAACATGTAGATTGTCAGAACAGTCTCGCTATCTCTCTCTGAACATGTAAATTGTCAGAACAGTTTCTTTTTTTTTGGTCTAAGTCTGCCAATATCTGTCTATGATAGTGTATATATATGCTGAAATTAATGTATTTGTACATGTACTTGTATGTGTAAGAAGCGACATCAATAAGAAGAATCAGTTCAAGAAATCCTGTACGTCTAGGAGCGCCAAACATAAATCAGAGGAGCGCCAACAACATAGAACAGAGGGGTAGCTCTGATGATTGATGGAGCAGAAGGCTAACCAATGGTACGATTTGTTAAAAAAAAAAAGTCGGGAAATATGAAATATTTGCTAAATTGAAAAAGTACCAAACCATTTTGGAGTTCAAGACGGAAGCAGTGTCTAAAGTCAAGTATCTACTTGCAAGTAGAACTCTTTCAAAACAGCTCTGTCTGACTCCAAAACATCCCTCTGCTAGAGCCAAATCCTGTCAGAGCTGTACATATTGTTATCCCCCGTTTCCTTCCCTTATACTGGTAGATGATTGTGTGAGTATTGTCGGTGGGGGTTGCCCAATCACTTGCCTATATATGCCTTCTGCCAGTATTAAACCTACTTTCTTTAAACCTACATCTCTTGCTATGTACCATTTTCATCTCCAAACAAATCATACTAAAAATGTGTTATTACACAAATGCCACCTCCAAGAACACCTGATAGCGACAATTGCACTCATACCTATGAGTTATGTCGCAGCTATCGAAAGAAGAAGAATGATGAAGCCAAAATCAAAACGAAAGCTTTACATTAACCAACTACTATGAAAACAAGCTCCCAGTAATTGGAAATAACAGTTGTGTATGATGCCAAAGACCAGACGTTCGCCATAATAGGCTCAAGTCAATGTTCTATATCAATAGGACCACACACGTCTTCAATCGACTTTAGAAAAGCATCGTCATGTTTACAAACTATGCTCTTTGAACCTTAATTTACGACTAAGAAGCTGATTGCAAAATACACGCTGTCGCGAGCCAATCTACTAAAGTGTGACACAGAAGTTTCGACGATGATGAGATACTATGTGGATACGGTAACGCGAAGCCTCAAAGTAAGTACAGTGGACAATATCCTATACACAACTCCAATGCGGAAGTGCAGATAGTATGCAATGGAATAAGAATTGAATTTGGCATTGTATGTTTCATTTAAGCTGGGATCATAATAAGATCAGTTGTAGGTGATTTGGAAGTGTATGTGCTACGAATTGACTGAAGAATACCTTGCTGATATATTTCAAACGTTTAAGGAGCAGTTGAAATCGTGAAAATATTTCCATCAGTTGAAGAGGTATGTGATGTCTACACAAAGATATATTATACCTACATTTATGCGTGCTGTGTTTTGGAAACTGGATATTTCTACATCTCCTGAGCCAAGCTATGCTATAGAAAATCACCGCAAATCACATTTCTATTCTCCTTTGAGAGTCGTTTCTAAACTGGAGAGACTAAACACCTTATCAACTGATGCATTATAGCATAGTAGTAGCCTTTACAGGGTGAAATTTAACTCTAGCACCACATATTCGGCATATATCTAATACTATACTTGACTTCAGATGGGCTGTTTAGCGAAATATTAAAATAATTTATTCACAGTTGGTAGACAATAATATCACGTTCCTTACCAATTCAAGGCCCAATGGCTTAGAAAGGCCCTGAAGTTTTAGGATATAAAAAATGAAAATCCTAAAATTCAGTCTTAAATGCTGAAATAGCCCGAAATTTTCATCCCAGGAAAGGCCCTAGCTCAGATGAAAGCCTACAAATTCCGATAGGACGGTGTTTCGATGATCTCTGAATGGATCTCGTAGAAAATAGGAAATATAACTACTCTGAGCAAAATGTAAAAAAAAACCCAAAAAAACATGACAAAAACATCTCGCAGGAAATTTTCACCTAGTCAAACTTTCACCCTTCGCCTATAAAGTCAATTTTCGCCTAGTTATATTCGCTGTAATGATAAATTCGCCCTCATTACGAATGGCGAAAAAAGGCGAAAATTTCCATGTATACAGTATCTTTTTTTTCATATGGTAATATACTAATTAATGAAAAATAGAGATATCTGAATTAAAGGTGATCATATAACGGAAATGTAAAAAGCATTCTAAAAACTGTTCTTTCTGAGCCTAAAAATCACAACAAAATATCCTCATAATATGTTAAGTACTTGTTTCGTATGAAAGCGTGAACAGCGATTATTTCCTCTAGAAATTGATACAAAACTTGAATCATTGTAGCTCGTGACAGGGCATTGCACTTTCCAACTTCCTCGTGCCTACGTCTTATTAGTTACATAATACGGGAAATAATGTAAAAAATGTATGGACTTTGACATTTCATGAGGAGGAAGTTTTTCTTCGGGTTTTTTGTATAAAGTATTACACATAATTTATTTATCACTTGGATTTTTGATAGCGAACTTTGTTGTAAAAATAAAATTACAAAATAAACTTTAAATAATATTAATGGACCTGTTTTCTTTACTGCTGTGCTTATTTTGAGTGCTTTCTCGATATAATTACAGATGCACCTCAATAACGACTGTCCAAAAGTCATGATAAGTTGTCCATATCAGTGCGGAGCGCCGAAATTTCTCCGAGAACAAGTAAGTCTTTCAAAGCGTATCACTTTGAATTAATTCATTTGAATATTCTTCGTGGTATTTTCATGTCACGTATGTCATAGGTCATTTGGTCATCAGTATTCGTCCGTCGTCTGTAGTCCTTCGATCAATAACAACTTTTTTTTAGATATCCTTAAGAACAATAAGATCTAGGGTCATAATATTTGACCAGTAGTTATTTGGCATAAAGGTCTATCAAATTTCGAATAAATAAATATGACCTTAATTCAAGGTTACAGAGGTCATTTATGTTAAATTTTTAATAACTTCTCATTCAGAAGTTCCCGGGTTATAATACATTATCAACAGATTATAGGATAGAGAACTGTCAAAACTGTTTAAATGAATGCCTTCGATATTCATTCAAAGTAACATGAGTCAAATAATATCGAACTTCATTAAATGTCACTTGTATAGTCAAGTTAAAATTGTGAGAGACTTTTTATACGCCCTTCAAAAGTTATCGTTCAATTTGAAGAAACTCGGTGTGCATGTACATTATACAAACATTGAGGCTAAGATCGAACTTAAGATTGGTTGGAGGTTTCTGCACAATAACATGTTCAAATATGATCCGTTTCTGATGAAACTTTGTCAATATTTATATTATACAATGACAGAGGCTGCGCCTAAATGTGAACAAAACCTACATATTATTTATAAGCATATTGCTATCTGATAGGATGACAGTTTCAGTACAACAACTTCACGAAATATAACATGATTTTAATGAGACTTGGTCAATGTTTTAACTTTGTCTAAAAGCGGAATCAGCTAGCGATTAATGAACAATAAAAACACCTTCGGTTTTTAGCTCACCTAAGTCGAAGGGCTAATTGAGCAGTGTCCGTCTGTTCGGCGTCAACCTTTTACTTAAACGACTTCTTTTGAATAACCAAAATGCCTAGGATGCTGATATGCAGTCAGTTACTTGCTCAGATGAGAAACTACAGGGATTGTTCCAATGAATGAGCTTCACCCATATGTAAGGTCACGGGGGTCAAATTTGCAATATGTGTCAATAACTAATGAAACTGGTTGCCGATGGAAATATCCTTATTCTGTTTCCTATTTAGCTGGGAGCTCATGCCGAACTGTGCCCGAATAAGCCATCTCTCTGCTCATTTTCTTGTATTGGATGTGCATTTAAGGTAAGTTGAAACTACCATCACTGTAAATGTCAACAGTATACAGGCACACGTGTCACACATGTCAACAGTGTACAGGCCTACATGTCACACATATCATACATATCAACAGTGTACATGCACACGTGTCACACATGTCAACAGTGTTCAGGCCTACGTGTCACACATATCAACAGTGTTCAGGCCTACATGTCACACATATCAACAATGTATAGGCCTACATGTCACATATCAACAATGTACAGGCCTAAATGTCACACATATCAACAGTGTACAGGCAAACACATGTCACACATATCAACAGTGTACATTCCTACATGTCACACATATCAACATTGCACAGGCCTACATGTCACATATGTCAACACATTGAACAGGCCTACATGTCACACATATCAACAGTGTACAGCCCACATATCAACACATTGTACAGGCCTATATATCACACATGTCAACATTGTATAGGCCCACATGTGACACATGTCAATAGTGTACAAGCCTACCTTTCACACGTATCAACACTGTACAGGCCCTTATATCACACATATCAACAGTGAACACATGTCATACATATCAACACTGTACAGCGCACATGTCACACATGTCAACAGTGTACAGGCCAACTTGTTGACAGTAACACTCATTCCTTTCATGCTGGTTCTCATTGTTAGAAGACAAATCCGAACTTAACATATTTCGATGTGCGTTCGTTAATCAACCACTAAGACAATTCTTAAACTGCAGACCAGAACAGATCAATTTTAATTTCTTTAATTTTAATTGAACTTATATTTTTTAATACCGTTTGTGATTATTCTTGCCTATATATTTTATACTAGGGAGCGCCGTTGGAGGTAAAACAACACGAGAAGAATGACCTGGCATCCCATTTACTACTGTTATCCAAATATACATCAACTATGGAACGCCAGAATGCGGATATCCTTACGGAATTAAGCGTAATTAGCACATTTCATTAAGAATAACTCACACAATATAATAACAAACTAGCTATACCTGATTACCAGCACATATAACTTCTTTAATATGTATCAGCCAATTTAAAAATGTCAAAACATGTTGGTATTTAAGTGTACTTTGATGCAAATTTTAAAAGGTTTGAAGAGATATATCAGTGTCGTATAATAACGGTTATATTTGCATTCAGAGAGCTGACAAAGTGGCGTCTTAAAGCATTGAGGTATCTCTTTAATAAAGATTCAGTTGACATTCAAATTACAAATGGATTTAAAAATTGTCCCTTAACTAGCATGGTCTTTTAATAGTTGCGAGCAGGTTTGACATTAAATCGTTCTGTCAATTTTGTAGGATCTCAAAGAAGAGAAGGAGAAATGGCAGCAGCAGGCCCTCGACTTGGAGGACAAATTACATTTCCTTAAAAAGGAAAATGTGGCTTCAAAGAAATCAGGAAACGAACTTAAGGTGAAGAAAATATTGTTTTTGTATTTTAGCTCACCTGGCACGAAGTGCCAAGTGAGCTTATGCCGTGGCGCGGCGTCCGTCGTCCGTCCGTCGGTCCGTCCGTCCGTCCGTCCATCAACTTTTTCTTTAAACAACTTCTTCTGAAGAACGGACAGGCCTAGAGTCATGATATTTGGCTGAACGCTTCGTTGGTAGGAGCCCTACAAAGTTTGAGAACGAAAATGACCTTGACCTGTTTTCAAGGTCACAGGGGTCAAATATGTCAAAAACTTCAAAAACTTCAAACGACTTCTTTTGAAGAAGTAAAAGGTATAGAGTCTTCATATTTGGCTGATGGCTTCCTGGGATGGAGCCCAACAAAGTTTGAGGATGAAAATGACCTTGACCCACTTTCAAGGTTACAGGGGTCAAATATGTCAAACTCTTCAAACGACTTCTTCTGAAGAACTGAAAGGTATAGAATCTTCATATTTGGCTGATGGCTTCCCGGGATAGAGCCCAACAAAGTTTGAAAATGAAAATGACCTTGACCCACTTTCAAGGCCACAGGGGTCAAATGTATCAAACACTTCAAACGACTTCTTCTGAAGAACTAAAAGGTATAGAATCTTCTTATTTGGTTGATGGCTTCCTGGGATAGAGCCCAACAAAGTTTGAGAATGAAAATTACCTTGACCTACTTTCAAGGTTACAGGGGTCAAATGTGTCAAACACTTCAAACGACTTCTTCTGAAGAACTAAAACGTATAGAATCTTCATATTTGGCTGGTGGCTTCCTGGGATAGAGCCCAAAAAGGTTGGAGAATGAAAATTAGTTTGACCTACTTTCAAGGTCACAGGGGTAAAATATGTCAAATGCTTCCAACGACTTCTTCTGAAGACCTGAAAGGTATAGAATCTTCATATTTGGCTTGTGGCTTCCTGGGATAGAGCCCAACAAAGTTTGAGAATGAAAACTAGTTTGACCTACTTTCAAGGTCACAGGGGTCATATATGTCAAAAGCTTCAAATGACTTCTTCTGAAGAATTGAAAGGTATAGAATCTTTATTTTTGATTGATGGCTTCCTTGGATAGAGCCCGACAAAGTTTGAGAATGAAAATGACCTTGACCTTCTTTTAAGGTCACAGGAGTCAAATGTGTCAGACACTTCAAACGACTTCTTCTGAAGAACTGAAAGGTATAGAATCTCTATATTTGGCTTGTAGCTTCCTAGGAAAGAGCCGAACAAAGTTTGGTAATGAAAATGACCTTGACCTACATTTAAGGTCACATGAGGCAGATATGTCAAACACCTTAACCGACTTCTTCTGAATAACTGGAAGTTATAAAATCTTAATATTTGGCAGGTGGCTTCCTGGGAAAGAGCCAAATAAAGATTGCGAATGAAAATGACCTCAACCTACTCTAGAGGTCACAGAGGTCAACAACATGTTAATGGATTTGTTCTTGAGAACTAAAAGGAATGGATTCATAAGATTTGGCTGGTAGCTTTTTGGAATAGCGCTAACCAATTTGAGAAGGAAAATGACATTGACCTTATGTCAAGCAACTTCTAAAGAAGAATCAAAAAGCATAGGATCTTATAATATTTTGCTGGTAGTTTCAACAGATGGAGCCAACAAAGTTTGCGAGGGAAATATTTTTAGTGCAATATAATATTTAATGAGAATATTTTGCTATGACTGCTTAAATATTCAGGTGAGCGATACAGGCCCTCTTGGGCCTCTTGTTAAAGCTACTAATACCATACTTAAGCCGTTCTCCGTTTCTAACTCGAAACAATCTTCCCATGGTTAGCCTTTGAGAAACGATGGTAAATATGGCTAAGCGCCGGCTAATTATCATCCAAAGTTATAAATAGTAACGTCCTTTATGTTAAAGACGAAGTAAAAATACAAGTGTCCCCTCCGAACTTATGTTATGACGCTTAATTGTGGCGCCATATTTGTCCTGCTAAATATTTACCGGCGTCATTCTGATTTGATAAAAAAAGTTTACATCAGATTTAGCCTTTCAGTAGTTTTTAGGTCACCTGAGACAAAGTCTCAAGTGACCTATTGCGATCGCCTTTTGTCCGTCGTCGTCCGTCGTGCGTCCGTAAACAATTTACATTTTCGACTTCTTCTCCAAAACCCCTGAACCAATTTCAATGAAATTTTGCAGAAACCTTCCATGACCAAAGGTCAACAAAAAGAGTTGCCGGTTTAGTCCCCGGCCCCCAGGGGCCTGAGGGGCGGGGCCAGAAAGGGTCAAACTGACTAAAATTTCAAAAATCTTCTTCTCAAGACCCAGATAGTGTAGAATCAAATACTCTTCATAGATGGAAGGGCCTTAAGGTGCTTTACCAAAATTGTGAATTTTATGACCCTGGGGTCTTACGTGTACCCCTGGGGATGGGGTAAACTTTACTATAGTTTAAAAAGGGAAATCACATTTTGGACCAACATTTGTTTAATTTTCATTGGAAGTAATTCAATTTGGGTTAGCATTATCAGTATTGGATAGCAGTTTGATGGTATGCACATATTAGCCCTGACTGACCCCCGGGGGTGATGGGAGGGGCCAAAAAGGGTCGAATTGACTGAAATTTAAAAAAAAATCTTCTCAAAGACCCAGATAAGGAAGGGTCTTAAGGTTTATGACCCTAGGGTCTCACGTTTATCCCTGGGGAAGGAGTGGGGAGAGGGGGGGGGGGGGGGGGGTGGTTCCATTATTCTATGTTTGTATATAATTGCTGGTATCACTGGATGGAGTTGGGGAAAATGGATATTAACGACTTTGTTTGTTTCAGACATCACAATGAGATGACGTTGTCCTCATTAACATCCAAACGTTGTGCATGCCTCTTATTTCATGAAAATAAAATTAATCATACCATTTAGTAAAGTTCAAAATACCCGAAAAAAAGATCATTTAGACCATCTGAATTATATTTCGGACTCTTCACTTATATTCAGTGATTATTCTTCTGTCAACGAAAACGTTTTCTATAAATATTTCTATTGCTGAATACGAACATGCTTTGATTTTATCAGCTTCTGATTGCGTCCCACGGAGAGCGAGTGATTAACCTGGACAGGAAGTTAGAGGATAAAGCAGCAAAATCGGTCGCAGACAATCTTGTCCGAGACGTGACTGCCATCAAAGAGACTAACCAAGCTCTGAGTGCTAGAGTAACGAACCTGGAGAGGGCAGGACCGATTGTAGGAATTGGAGAAATGATGGGACCAGGTGAGAAATCTTACATATACTTAGAGGCTAATACTAGATACTAACAGCTAAGCTCAATAGTTGAATGTTTACGTTGTCAAAGGATTTTCTTGTCAGAATATATGGTTAAGTCATGTATTTGATGCGCCAATATAATGCATTTTGTGTGTTGGATTGGGAAGGACATCTAAGCTGTTAGCTTCGTTCAAGTTCAGGTTAGTCCCCCACCAGTACTACTGTACGGTGCTCTAGGATTATTCTGAGGGTGACACAGGTTTTCGTTTCAAGCAGATGAACAGTTTTGCAGCATAAACAATACGGTTACGACACACTTCCGGATCATGTTGTATCACACTGCTTTCAAAGATGATTCTACACATCTCTCACTAAATACAACTCTTGATTCAGCTGCATGATGTGGTACATACTTTATCTATTACTAAATGTTAAAGATAACATCTTTAGTTTGTGTGTGTGTGTTGTGTTAATCTTTTAACAAGACCGTATAAAAGAAAGTTATTACGCTGTTTGGTTACTTGCTTGATGGCTAGCTGTCAGCAAAACTACTTATGGATTTTGGGAAGATAGAGTATTGCTTAGGTCTGGTGCCACTGTGTATTCAGAGTTAGGGCCTCATTTTAATACTTCCCTGTATAGAGTCGGTAATCGGGACACACACACAAGGGTCACTTTGCAATACTTTGGACAGTTGTAGAGAAACTCAAGACGTCTTCGTTTAGATAACTGAATGCTTTAAAATCATGATGTTTTACTTGATAAATTCCTAGCATGGCTATGATGTTTTGCAGAAAACAAATAACAGTGACCAATTTTCAAGGTCACATTCTAAATGCAATCCTAAAGAAGCAAATAATAAATGTCGAAATATATGGTCAAACTTGTTAAGAACTAAACAAGACCATGCGATGATGGGCGCAAATATAAAATCATTAGTGCACATACAGTTTGTTACTAGTATTTCTTGAGAACGATTAAAAGGATGTGTACAAAACACGGCATACATGTTCACCTTAGTAAATTGTTATTCTTGTCTCCAATTTGAGATAGACACCCTCCAATTCGAGATAACCATAAAGCATACGTGGTCTGTCTGCCATTTTGGAATAAATATGGATTTTGCATGTAAATTTTGTTATCGCTATTTTTGGATGTTACCTCTTATTTTACATTATCCTTTCTTTAAAAAGGGAAAACAAAAGTTCTCTCAAAGGTCGGTGCCAGGATCTTCTGTATTCCCTTACTTGATGGTGTGCTACAAAAATTGTAACTTTATTTGAAGTCACAAGGAAACACTAAAACGACTTCTTCTAAAGAACTGGAATGGCATAGAGCCATGTTATGTGGTCAGTTGCTTGTTTTTATGGAGTGTAACAAAGATTACAGGATATGAATACTCGAATAACTTCTTCTGAAGAACCAAAAGGCCAAGTCAAGATACATTGCAAGTAGCTTACTTGCTTGAAATGATCAATTGTGTGTATGGAGTGATACATGTGAAGTGATTCATGAAAAGAATAACTGTCACCTATATTCAAGGTCACATGGATTTTGTATTTAATATTTTTGTTACCGCTTCTTTTGGAGAATACTTGTCATGAGTGTACACCTTCCAATTTTTGATGGATCGGACAATCAAGCTTAGAACAAGCCCCTAAAAGAGAATTTGGTATCTGATTGTGGTTTTTGTTTTAAAAGAAGACAAAACATGTGTCGATGGTGGGCGATAGGATCCTCTGTATTCCCTTTTCAAAATTACCACATGGCCTAGATGCATGATGTTTGATCAGGAGCTTACTGGATGGCGTGCTACCACATTTGTACAAATTATAACTAAATTTGAAATCACAAGGAAACACTGAAACGACTTCTTCGAAAGAACTGGAATGGTATATAGCCATGTTTTGTGGCCAGTTGCTTGGTTTCATAGAGTGTAACAACGATTACAGGATACGAATCCTTGAATAACTTCTTCTGAAGAACCAAAAGGCCAAGTCAAGATAAATAGCAGGTAGCTTACTTGCTTGAAATGGTTTGCATGGAGTGTTACACCAAAATAATTTTTGAAAAGAACTTCTTTAACCTATATTTAAGGTCACATGGACAATTTTCAGACAGAGATGTATATACTACTAGCTTTATATGTCTCTGTTTCAGACGACTTCTCCTTGTTAACTGCAAGGCATACAATTATCACATGTGGCTTGAAGGTTGCTGGTATGGCATGCTACAATATTTGTGAACGTGCACGACCTTGACTGACAGTCATGGTCACATAGATAAAAAGTTAATAAACTACTTTCGAAGAAGAAGAATCATATGATATGCATTCAATAGCTTGCTGGCATGAAGTGTTAGAAAAGCTTGAAAAGAAAAAAATATTCTGACCTATATTCAAAGTCACAGTGGTCAAATTTGTCAAAACGACTTCTTCAGAAGAACTACAATTCCTTAAGTCATGATATCCTACCAGTTAACATATTTCAAGATTGTTTACCGGGTTAACGTCTTTTTCTATATTCTATCCCGAGTTTTGCTTAATTTTGAACTTGATGGTATTTTTCAAGATGGCGGACGATAGACATTTGATATTTGAATTTTGTGACTGCTATTTCTCAGGAAGACGGCAAGAAATCAACGTAAAAATTGATGGAATTCTTCACATAGGGCATAGTTCTGCTCACCACCTTTCGAGGGTTTCAAATTTTCTTTAAAGCTGCCGGCAGCAATTTTGTATTCGGCTGTTAAAGTTTGTTACCACTGTTTCTCTTAAACTATTGGAGGGATCGTCCTGCATCTTTATGGGATATGTTTACTATGCGACTTAATTATTGATGCTGTAGTTTTGAGCTTTATGGGAGTTTCAAGATGGCTGCCAGCAGTAATTTGGTGTTTTGAATGTTGAAGTTTGTTATCACTTTTTCTCAGGAACTACAGAAAGGATATTTGTGAAACTGAGACATATTCATGAAAAGACCAAAGAAATACAACTTAGTTTGCTTTCATATCATGTCTCCGGCACTGTTTCGTTCGGGCTCTTCTCACAATATGGTTTGCTCTTGTTACCTCAGATAGTGAATGTCAACTTTCCTCTGAGATCTATTTTTGAGCTTGAACCCGTTGCTTAACTGTTTTGAACATTTTCTTCAATCATATTTCAGCTCAACTGAACAGTAAACTGAAACATTTGGATAAACAGTCCACTCTGCACGACGTCAGACTTGCGGAACTTGATCTCCGATTTCAAATCCTTGAGACAGCAAATTACGAAGGAATTCTGATGTGGAAAATCCGAGATTACACACGGAGGCGACAGGAAGCCGTTAATGGTAGAACTTTATCGTTATTCAGTCAGCCTTTCTACACCGGTCGTCATGGATACAAAATGTGTGGACGCGTCTACCTGAACGGAGACGGCATGGGAAAGGAAACGCATCTATCCTTCTTCTTTGTCCTGATGAAGGGTGACTACGATGCTCTGTTGCCCTGGCCATTTAAACAGCGAGTGTCGTTGATGTTGAAAGATCAAGACACCAGGACCCAGGACCTTTGCGACACGTTTACCCCAAACGCGGCTAGCAACAGTTTCAAGAAACCAGAGACCGAAATGAACGTAGCATCTGGTGTCCCAAAGTTCATAGCCCACAATCGTCTGGAAATGCCAGCGTATCTGCAGGATGACACCATTTACCTGATGATCAAAGTGGACATATCTAATCTACCGAATCATCCAAATCCGTGACATCAACAACATGGGTCATAGGTGGTGGGCACGTCTATCAAAAAAAAAATTGAATATATAAAATCTAGTTTTATATATTCAATTATTATTATTTTGATAGACGTGCCCACCACCTATGGCTCCCCAGGTTTATTCACACCACTAATCTACCGAATCATTCAAACCCGTGACATCAATAACATGGGTAGCAGTGCTCTCCAGGATGATTCACACCACTAATCTACCGATTCATTCAAACCCGTGACATCAATAACATGGGTAGCAGTGCTCTCCAGAGGGATCTACACCCATTACAGTAGCATCGGTTCTAACACCTACTTTGTTAATACAACGGACATGGATGTTCTTGTGAGTCAGTCCCATAGTCACAAGCATAAGGCAAAACAGAACAGGATAATCGCCTTGTCATCAAATCAATCATCAGGTTACAGCGGTTTACACTTCTGTTGATGAAAATGGGATAACTGTATCTTAATACAATCTGGAATCATTAAAAGCGAATCATTTTGAATCGTACAATTATTCTAAACAGTGTGACAAATGTGGTTTAGTCTGATTAAGCTGGGAAACAAATTTGGTTAAAATTTAATATCGATTTCCCCAGTAAACATAATCAGAATACAATGTGAAATGGGTCTGTGATGATCCAGTTTCCAACAAGATGAACTCGGAACATGGAATAGTTAATTATAAAATTCCAGGTGTGAATGTGTTTCTAAGTGATCATTTAGAAACATCGGGGTCAGAACCGACCTTTTTGTGGTTACTAGTTCACTCTTTACACAAGAGCTGATTTCTTGTGTACATGGACGATTAAAGAATTAAAAGAAGTAATTAATGACATACTTCAGTGGAATCAACTATGTGTTGTTCAATGGGTCGATAGTTTGATTTGACTTAATACATGGGCTGTTGCAAAGGCTACCCAATAAGCATGATGTTATATACGAGTAGTATTCTTCATTTTTTCGATTTGCATACTTTTGTTTAATGTTTGTAATGAGTAGGCACTTATCTCCTAAAGAATAAAAGTTATTGCAAATAATGTGGATCATCTTTACTTTTTATTTGTTGTAGTATGCATGTAAAATGTCAGTACTTAAAATCAACAACCATGTCAATGAATTGGAGTCTACAACACTGAAAACTACAAAACTATAACGCTGGTCTTTATGCTTGTGTCCACTATACAATACATTTGTAGACACACAATACCGCTTTTAATGTAAAAATGAATGACGCAAATCAAGCCTCAAAACTATAAACGATTTCAAACATTTCAATTTACCGTAATTTCCTTCGGATAGCCCGCTACACCGTATAGCCCGCCGTATAGCCCGCTGCACCGTATAGTCCGCACAGCCTTAAATTAGCTGCATGTATGTAAAAAATGTTCACAGATAGCCCGCACCGGCATATAACCCGCGGCTTATACGGCGGACATTCCTGTAAACATGTTGATTCGAAAATTATTAAGAGAGCCTTCGCCAAGGCCTAAATAGTTAGCGTTGAACAAGTGTGTACTACACAGGACCCGGACAGTGATAATGATCTTCCACTAGCCGAAGTAGCGCAAATTGACCGGCAGGAAATGGAACTATTCCAGAGCGAGTCTGAGGCCTCAGACTTCGATGGGTGGGATTGACGATACCTGAATGAACACTGACAGCAACCAAATTGTACAAATGTTTAATGTTGATGTGTAATTAATAAATTGTTGCATAAATTTATTTATTTTTTATTTTTATTTTTTTACACCACAGATAGCCCGCAGGATATCGACGATTTATGTAAAAAAAAAAAACACTTACACATAGTCTGCACCGGTAGATAGCCAGCAGGGTGTCTGAAAACATTTTTTTTCGCAGAAAGCCCGCGATCTATCCGAAGGAAATTACGGTAGCAGTAACCCTATGCATTTGCATTAGATATTATTTGAAGAACAATTTCAATTTCAACATTGGCCTTGATAAGTTAAAAGTTCCATTGCCCCCGATACGTCTAGCGCCATGCCGATTGAATCACAAACATAGGCGGACGTTGATGTATGAATAATCTGAGACAATGAGATTAATAAAACCTGTTTAAAGCTCAGTTACAGGTAACAGATTTTTTTCTCGCACCTTCAAGTTCGGAAACAAACTTTTCAATTTCGCTTTAAATTACAAGTACCCCGTCGGGGGCCTCAAATAAAAAGGCCTTTACACTACTAAAGCTACGTTTGAATGTTTCTGCGTAAAAATGTAGTCCGTCCTTACAAAGAAGACAACGAATTTCAGTGTAGATTATATGTTATTTACAACATCAGATATCTAACAACACATATACATGTAATGACAAAACAGAATATTTAAAATGCGGAGTGTCAATTTCGAGCCACTCACGCGCGGATGGATAGTTCGCAGTGTAGAAATTCTGCGAAATGAGAAATGTCACGTAAAGGTACCAGACAGATCGGACGAGATAGAAAAAAATAACATGGGGTATGGCGTAGGATATCTGTCTGAGGTGCGAGAATGAGAGGTATGGTGTTACGATAAATAAATAGTTTTATCGTCAACTAGTTTAGTTTTAAACAGGTTTTAGACTTTCTTTATCTTTTTTTTTATATTTTAATCTAAAACAGAAACATCCAAAACAATCAAAACGGCTTATTTTGATATTTTTTAAAAAAAAACTGAATATCTTAAGCAGTACTAGATATGTTATATACTTTCGGTGTTTGGCCAAAAAGGCAAAAATGTTCAATATTCAATTCGTTTTTTAATATTGAATAGTTTGCCATATAAAGTAGTTTTTTTCTGTATCACTAAAATAAAGTATGATAAATACAATGCTACAGCGAGAACAGGAAGACAAAGTACAGGTAAGCAAATAATAGAGGAAACAGGAACTAAAGAGACACCGAACAAGGAAGCGTCAACTCACACATGAACAGGAAGCGAATCTAGGTAACCAGTATGGTAAGCGTTTCTTCTTCCACGTGTTATCCTTCTGATGTCGCCCATCAAATCCAAGACGTTATTCAGGTTACTGGTGATTTACAATGAAAAATCATCAGGAAAACATTCAAATTTATCAGTTTGCTACAGGTTGAAGAACTTCCACTTGAATACTGAAAGGCCTAGTGCTCTGATAGTTGGCTAGTAGGTACATTAAATGGCGTGCTTTTATTTATCCTCAAATAAATGATATCAACCTACTTTTTTAAGTTCACTAGGATAAAATTTGTAAAAACCTTAAACCGATATAATATGGACAACCAAAAGACATAGACTGATGATATTTGGCCATGAGGTGCCTGGGATGAAGTGATATAACTTGTCCACAAATAAATGACCTTGCCGTCCTCTCAAGGTCACGGGTGTTAAATATTTAACAATTTACGCGACTTTTTACTCCAACTCCAGAGTTTAAGTGTTTGGCTATAAGATACCTGAGATAGCGGTCTATCATGTCCCTAAACTATTTGACCTTGACTTATTTCAAGGTCATAGGAGTCATAGATATGAAAACATAAAAGTAAGTTATGTTGAATAATAAAGAGCTCCACGTTAATGTTGTTTGGCATTTAGGTATCTGGAATAATGTTTTGCCAGTAGCACGCTTGAATGAATTGTCATTAATTTTCCTCAAATGAACGATCTTGACCTAATTTGAATGTCTTTTGAATAGCTAAAAAGCTCAGGATGATATGATTGGCAAGTAGCGTGCATGAATAAATTACCATAAACTTTCCTCAAACAGATATGAGGTTCGCTCCTTTTAGTTTCCTAAGGATAAAATATATTAAATATCTTTAAACAGCTGTCAGGGTAATGATATTTGATAAGCAGCATACTGGGATGGAATGCCATACATTTTTTTTCAAATAATCAAATCGATTTGTTTTCAAAGTCATTGGATCAAATGTGTTAAATGCTTTCAAGAAAGTTTCTCTGAATTATCAAGAGTCCTGGAGTAATGATATTTGACCAGTAGGTACCTGGGATTAGTGTTATGTTACCTCAAATAAATGGCCTTGACTTACTTTCAAGGTTACATGCGTCTAATATGTAAAATTCTTTAATTGTTTGATTAAATGAAAGGCTCGGGGTGATGACATGTAGTGCAATGTAATTTGTTCCAAACGATGACCTTGACCAACTTTTCAGGTCACAGGAGTCGTGTGTGTTAAACATCCGGACTGTTTTTGATAACAATGAGACCTAAGTTTATGATAGAAAGCCAATAAAAAGTCAATAGCAAACTGAGATGAAGGATTTCCATGTTTGTTCAACTGAATTACTTTGACCTTATTTGATTCAGTTAGATACGGCTGTAATTTTCGTACAATTGTCCGAAGATCTATGAGTTATAAAAAAGTTCTCAGACGTGTAATCATAGACGAAACATGACAACATGCGTGGTAGGCCTTGATGTCTTCCGTGTTTCCTTAAGCATCTTATCTGACCTTCCTTTCTGTCTCTGACCGTGTCTCGTGCAATGTCAACGTTTCTTCTTGAATCTAACAATGTCGATTTTTCACACCCCGATATTACCACGTGAATTTTTGAATGCTTCCTTATTGTCTATCTATTTTTTTAGCATCTAGATAGAACCTGTGAAGTTCCCGAAGTGATCATACTGCCTTAACAATGCTACTTATACTAACACGCCAAACATTTACTTAAAACTAGAAGAAAGGGTAACAAAAATTGTAACGGGGCCTCTTTATTATGATTTGTTAAAATATGTTGAATTCAGAATGAAATGATTTATTGGGATATAAAATATTTAAATAATTCGTTACGGTTCAGCGATACTTTGGGACGTTGACGTCAGTTGGGGTATTTTTTTTAAGTTTTCGCGCTTAGTAGCGTGTATGACCACCATCGGCCTGATACGCCCCAGACCATGGCACTCCTGGCAAACTTGTCAAGTTGTGTAACAAAGCAGTTGCTAAGCGTTCACCAAGCGTTCGCTGCCTCCCATCACCATGAATCAAGCAAAATCGCAACTCATCCGAAATAAGACGCTATTCCATTACCGTAATAACCACCTGCGTTGTGCTCGAACGATTGGTACGATGACGTCGCGTTAACACAGGGCCGGGGTAAGGCCTTCTCGCATGCATACAGTGCATTTTAAAACGCTTTTAAACGTTGCAGTAACTGGTTAACTGTTTTAGGCTACTCCAAAGGTGTCTCGCAACTTCACGTTGCGTCACCCTTACCTGGAGTATACCAATAACTCGTTACGTCTTCTGTAGACAGCCGCGGCATTGCCTAAACGGATAACTTCGCAAAACAATCCACAGGGTTTTCATCTGGAAAAGGTCTTGAGAATGCGTTTACTCCGCTTTAGACTATTCGATCAGTTGCGGTATAGAAGAGAAAGTCAATAAACCTGTTAGGAGCTACAGGATGATCGGCGAATTTCACACTCGACGCATTGAAAACACTGCTAACCGAAGTCATTTTATAACCAACATTATCCTGGCGTTCTACAAGGTAACATGTGAATCTCTTTTGTTTTGCTGAGTTTACTTATTAAATTTTGTTCAGTGGCACGCAACTACTTTTAATATTGATCTTGTTAGAATTTCAGTCGCTTGGTACGTTAGATACATTTTTGTATAACGTACCAAGCAACTGAACGTCTAACAAGATCAATATTAATAGTAGTTGTGTGCGCCTGTGTTTTGTCCATAGGTTTTATTTTATTCACATAACATGTGGTAATACATAATACAAATTTGATTAAACATAAATGAATTGGAGACAGAAACACTTATATAAATGTTACTTTTCATCGTGAATAAATTACAAGGGGAAGGTAGACGAGAGTTGGGGAAAAGCAGTGTAAAATATGGTACATGTACAAAATACGTTATATTAAATAAAATCAGTGCATTGTGGTCATGAAATCCTTCTGTTGTGTCATCGTTAATACACTTTATGATTGATTTTCAGACTATTTCAAGAAAGGTATATACATGCATATAAGTAAGATCGAAATAAACAAGCTGCATTTTAATGCTAACATAAAATATACTCTGTGATAATCATAATCATGTGGATGTTTTTTCCCTGCGCAGACAGTCGTTGTGATAGACTGTTTACATTCCATACACTGTTACTGATCAATTGTTCGTCACATCCCGTGCCTTAATATGTCATTCTCCTGTTCATTCTTTCTCATAGGTTTTGATATTGACACAATAACATATTCGGCGCTTTACCAATGAGGCTGCTACTTTCTGTTTGTTAACGGTAGAGCATCTTATGACAGAATGACCACATTTTGATAACACTTGTCGGGGTTTGATGTTGTTTTGTTCTGCGTAAATTTAATGAGGGTTCTACATTCTGATTGGCCGATTACTTTCAGTGCAACACCTCATAACAGAATAGCCAATTAAATAGTTACTTTCAATATTTATTCAATCGCTTCCTGGCTGTCTTCAGGGCTGGCTTTGGGTGCCAGTCTACTCTGTTGCGTCTCCTGGAGGACTGGCGAATGGCCTTGGTTGAGAATAAGTAGGTCGGTGCTATACCTATGCATCTCTCCACGACGTTCGACCGTCTCCCACACATTATCTTGGTCGAGAAGCTGCGGGCCTATGGGCTTGACAGAGGAGCTGTGCACCTCATCATCGGCTATCTATCGAACAGAACGCAGCGCATTCGGCTGGAGCCCTCGGTCAGTGACTGGAGTCAGCTTGAGAAGGGGGTAACCCAAGGGTCAATTATAGGCCCCTTTTAATTCTTAAAACTTTCTTCTGTGTGTCAATATTGACCACAACCTTAAGTTTGATACCCACATCTCAAAGATATGTACAACAGCTGCTTAACAACTAACTGTTCTCAAAAGAGTTGGTAATGCTTTATCCAAACAAAGCAGGATGGCCATATTCCAATCTTTTATTCTGTCAAATTTTAATTATTGCCATCTGGCCTGGCACTTCTGCAGTAAAAACAATACATCAAAAATGGTTTGATGTTGAGGAAATTCAAGGGATAAATTCAGTAGACTGCTTTATTCTGATTTGCCGATTGCTTTCTGCGGAATATAAACTGATCGGATGTTTTGAAAACTTGCCTGGTATACTTTACCTACACAAGCCCCTTTTTTCTGGTTCGATGTTTGGAAAAGTCTACACTTATCTATTAAGATACTGCGTTTTGATATAAATGTAGTTTTTTTTTGTTGAGTTATCTTTGACAGAAAGAAAATATTTGGATCAAACTTTCTTGGTGCACTACTTAACCAAGTATCTCACTTGGGTTTAGAGTTCAACCGTTTCTGCATACATTCAACGAAATTGCTCAGATCTGATTGGTCGATAGCGTTCCCCGCAATATCCGTTGGCGAAATGACAATTATGATAGAACTTGCCCGGTTTAATGCTGACCCAAGTCTCTTACTCGGATGTCATGATAGGCAACATCTGAGCACATTCACAGAGTCTTTTTAAGCCGTCATTTGCTGGAGGGAAGGAATAGTCCTAGTTTTAATTGTACTTTACTGGTACATTAGTAAAGCCTCATTTCTTATATCTTAAAATCCAGCTAAGGTGATCGCCATCTGTTGCTTCTGACTGGCTGGGACATATACGGCTGTTGTATTAAATATATGATTGCTTTGTGGGAAATGGTAATTGCTGGTTTGTAAACATGGTGAAAAATACCTTAATAACTTGATCCCATAAAACAAGATGGCTGTCGTGGCTTTTATTTGGCGAGACCTTTCAGATTCAAACTAGTCCTGCTTGTAACTGGTATATGTCGGATTACAAACATGTGTAACGCTTTTTAATACTTTCAAATCTTTTTTTGTTCTTTGTGGCTTCTACTCGGCGGACTTCTGGAGGATGTTCGGTCACAACAATGGCGGTGCCCTTGTCGACCTGTCACAGCTCTAGATTATGATCACAGTATATTTCACGCTGAATATGTTGGCTTTAACACACTGATGAGCTGGAAAGCTAAGTTAATAAAGTATGAATGAACAAGAGAAAACAAACATCCAACACGCCACGATTAACATGTGCTATCGATAGTGCCAGTGTTCTGTCAGTTCGTTGTTTTACAGGGACTGCGTCACACTGGCAGTTTTTTCATGCGCATTTAACATCTCATTTTAACGGCGAAAAGATAGTGAGTACCAGTAAAAGATCAATAAATTTATAATGAGGAATCGGCGGAAGGAAGCACTTTTTAAATCGAACCCCAACCCCCC